GAATCACACAAGGTTTTGTGAAGTGGTAGAAGACGTAGAAGAGTCTTCGCACTGCTGTCCACAGAGCATGTGCGTTCCGTCGACTCCCAGGACCCATGCGCAGCTAGCCTTACCAGTGAGAGGGCACCCAAGGCAGGAAAACAGCAAGATGGTGCAACTTGCTGGTTGTTAGTGGGGAATGGAGGAGTGGAGAACCCCCAAGATTTTGTCAATTCCTTCAATGCAACCAGCAAGATGGACATGTGCCCTCAAGCTTGCTTGCAGGGCTTCAGTGGGGTCTTCATGGGCATGTACCAGGCAGGAGGAAAGAAGGGCTGTGAGTAAGGTCCGCTTTACTGCTTTGGTCCGAAACAGCGATGCAAACTGCAGGATCTTGTGTTGTCACGGAATGTTCTCAGCATGTTTGTTTGCAGCGGCATTCGAAGTAAAATCGTATTAGTGCCGCTGCTGTTGCGCAGGCTGCTGCGTCAATGGGTGCCTTCCTTGGGCCAGTGACGGGCGGAATGCTGTATAGCTTTTCGTAGCCTGGCTGCAGCTTGCGCTGGGTACTTCGGCGGGAACTCTGTGGTTCATTATGCAGTCTTCAGGCTGGCACTTCCGTATCAGATTGCGGCCGTATCTCGACTGAAGACCTACAGGTTAAAGTTTGTTGTTCCCGCGTTCTCATGGATGTTATGAGGTGGCCTCTGGCGCGTGCTTGCCTGCTGTCTTGATTATCGCGTCCACGCCCGAGTTTGCAACCCTTGTGGCGTTGACCCTCATGTGTTCCAGGTGTAGACAGTGCTGAACCTAAGGATGCGAATAATGCCTGGGGATTCTACGCGGAGTCCATTGCCAGGCTTGTTGCCAAGAGTGGGGGGTTTGGCCAAGCTGGTCCTCGAGGTTTGTACGCAACGCAAGGATTTGGTAATTTCCCAAATTAAGGGGACCCCAATATAGACCCCAATCTACTATAGTCCTTATTATGGGGACCCCCAAAAAGGTACCCCTAATTTTGAGAAACCCCCATTTTCCTGAGAAGGGACTGGTGCAGGATGGGAACAGACATCCTACAAGTTTCGAAGCTGAGCCGAAGCAGTAGGGGCTGCGGTTTCCAAAGAATTCATGACGCCGATGGGGGTATCTCAGCACCATGCACTTGTGTGACACGTTGGGCAGCTTACTTACCGGTAATGACAGAAGATACTACGAGGCTTGGCATTGAATTGCTGGGGCTCACCCAGCAATGCTGTAGACATACTCGTGGTGAGAGTGTTGACTGGCAACATCTGTCCACATTGCTGACGAACAATTCTATGAGAAGTATGCGCAGGCGTGAAGGCAAACTCTGATCCGCTCCTTGACGAACACCGCAAGGCCATCTGACAGATGATGGACGGGACAAGGTATCAAATTGGCAGAGTCCGTGTGCTTTTGATAGGGAAAGGGCACTCTTGCTGAGTGAAGGGATGGCGAGGGTATCCGACTAACATCGCTGAGAAGAGGACTCTTGCAAGTTGAGGCACACGCGGGAACCAATCGTGTTGTTACCCTAAAGTCATACTAGAAGCATGTGGTGGGCAAGGGGGAGCCCAAAATGGAGAAGGATACCACAAGCAACCCTGGGAGCAGCAGGAGCAGATCGAGGGTTCGTATTTCTACGGCGTTCGTTGTAAGGCAGCAGCTGTTGGCCGCAAGCTTTGCCATCAGCTTGAGCAGTAGACAAGGTCATGAGGTGATGCACCAGTCCTGACACTTTGATTTGAATTCCAGTATCTGGCACCTCTCTCGCAAACTAAACTGCACTTGAAAGCGGGGTGGGCGTTAGTGGCTGACGGGAGGCACTCCGCCTGACATTCCCAGAGGAAGCAGAAGAAGAGGAGAAAGGAAACGAGAGCCGTGAGAGAACTTCCAAGACACCGACAAAAGCCTAGACGATCAGCATGGAGCTTCGCTGGCAGCGTGTCCATGCAAATGAAAGGGCAAACGAACCCTAAATGGTGGTTTCCCTGAATAAGGGTGCCCCACTATAGACCCCAAAATACTATAGTTTACTATAGTCCTTATTATAGGGACCCCCCCAAATGGTACCCCTAACTTTGGGAAACCCCCAAATCCTAAACCCCTAAATTTCATGGGTTTTCCCAATGCTTTGGACCGCCCTGGCGAGGCCGAAGTGGATCTGTTGGGGAACTTGCAGGACGCAGAGAGAGTCTGCAGACTTGCGGCTTGATACGGGGGTGTCCCAAACATTAGGGAGACCTTTTCGGGGGAGTCCATAATGAGGATTATAGTATTTTGGGGTCTATATTGGGGTCCCCCTTTTTTGGGTAAATTACCATACTCCTCATGTAAATGTCAGGACGCATCTCCTACAATGCAGCGCGCGATCACTCGCCTCAGGCAACGGTCCACCTCTGCAGCTACAGTGACAGCATGCAAACGACAAAGGCATACCTCATGCCCCCCATGCTGTAGCCATGTTTTGGAAGAGCCAAATCTACCACAGCGTCTGGCAACTCCGGCTCGCCGGCTTCAGCATCCCCTAGACTTGATCCCTGAAAGGTCCGTTGCAGATTTCCGCAGGGGACCGAGTTTGGATAAAGCTGTTTTTAGGGTCTGGGCCGTGTCATGAATCTGTTGCAGTGGTCATGTTCACCTGCAACGATGGCGTTATGACATGTCTTTGCTGGAAGGCGGGGTCGAGCACTTGCGGAGGGTAGTTCGAGTAGTTGCCCAATTACCTGAGGTGCAGATCAGTTCTCACTGCCCTTGCCGGGGTTGCCACGCCGCGACGACCGAAGTCTTAAACAGATGGACCTGGGCTCAGAATCGACTAATACAATCAGCTTCGCGCACGTATCATCATTACCATTACTATTACCACTGTCATTGCTTCTATGATTCCTGTTACTCTTATTGCTACTACTGTTATCATTGGAGTGTTTCCAGAAGAGTTGGGCACTAGAGAGTCTGTGGGATGAATTCTACAGAGCCTGCCAGATGAACCTCAAGTGTGCCAAGGATCGCATCAGTGAAAGCAGCGAGAAGATCCATGGCTTCAAGGATCGGTCCCAGACCGAGGTCTTCCTGCAACAGCCGCGTTCCAGGCATGGAAGTGGAAAATTAGGGTTACTTTTTAGGAGTCCCTCTATAATAGAGATAATAGTTCTTTTGAGGGTCTGTAGTGGGGTCCGCCTATTTAGGGAAACTACCAATACCATAAGCACTACAACTAAGTGCTATGATGTTATTTCTAATCACTTTATCCGCTGTGGGCCAACGGGCCGACGGCCAGTGAATTGTGAAGCGAGAAATGCAGAAACGCCAGCTGGCACCCGGGCACTTGCGAGAACATTTGAACCTCTTGGCCGGGGCCGAGCTGACTTCCTGTGAGCTCTTAAGCCTTCATGTTGCTGGACCCTTGCCGGACAAATATCTATTTAAAAAGCCTGGACGTGGGCTAGACGTGTTTGATGATGCTGCTGGCTGCTGCTTGATAGCGAATAGATGATGGACAAACAATAAATGTAGAGTTCAGAGGTAGTCGGGAGGCTGCTGGCGAGGAAGGAACACCAAAAAGAAACTCCCCAACACAACTTGGAGGCAACACCCAAACTGCTGCACGGGCTATGGGAACAGCAAAAATGGCTGGGCATGAACAGAAGCTCCACTCCGGAGCAAGGAGAGGGCGGGACATCCAGAGCCTAGAAGAAGTCTGGGCAAGAAACAGAGGGTTCCAGGCAGTTTTGGCAGAGGTCTAACGGTTAGTCTAACAGTTACAGTTAGAAGATATTAGAGCCGTAGCCAGAGACCACAGCAAGCACAGCCCGCAAGGACTAAAGTCCATGGTAGGACAAGGGTAAGCAGCTAGGTCCGTGTGGCAACATCTGAAGCCGAAGAGGATTTGATGCCAACTAGCTGCATGTTGCCTGGTGTATGCAATGGCTTCAGCAAGCCTGTTCATGGACAACTGCTTTGTTCAACGCTTTCCATGCTGTGCGCTGCTGTCACTAGTTGTCGCTTGTTCGGTCGCTGCCCATGGCTGGCTTTGCAAAGTAAGCCAAGCAAGCGTAAAGAGTCCAGGGGTTCAGTTCTGCCCAGTGTTTTGCTGCACTGTTAGTTGCACAGGCGTGCCCTCAGCAGCAACGTCGAGTCAGCACTCCTCAGAAGATACTCAATGGATGCTTTGAACAGGCACGGCTTTGCATGCTTTGTGGCGTGAAGTTGAATCCTTTGTCAGCTTCTCTGTTGTCTGTCTGTCGCCTCTGCCAAGCATTGCCTCGCGAAGGGATGATGCCCTGCTTGTCGGCCCAAGACAAGTAGCCGTCGCAATAGCTTCGTGGGTCTATGGTAGCGCATGTCCGCGCGCTGTCTGTAAATGCAAAGAGGACTGCTTGGGGTGGAAATGTCAAGCTGATCATTGCGCTTGGCATGGCATTGCTTACGTTGAGAGGAGAAGTGGGCGGGGAGTGCTATATACTTGCTGGCGCCACTGGTAAAGCAACTCAGTTCGTGGCTTGGACAAGTTGATTAGAACGGCCTGGCAGCAACAAAAAGTAGCAGGGTGGCCACGGTAGCTAGGCGCGCAGACGAGCTGTGTACCTTCAACTGCCTTGCCTTCGCTTAGATTTACTGAGCGCAGTGCCTGGCTTTGCTTTGGCAATCTGAGCTCCACTTGTACGGCTCATCTTTGTGCCCAGGTCCTTTTTCTATGTTGCTGCGCTGCCACTTGCCAAACATGGTTCATTCGGGGGTGAAAGCTCAGCATTAAAGAGAGACCAGGGAGGCTCATCAAGCCCGCGTGCACAGCACCACATGGCCATTCAGAGCAATTTGGCAAAGGGAAGCGTTTGGCTCACTGGTTCTGTCCAACATGATGCGGAAAGCTTGTTGTTTGACTGATAGCAGCCGGCCGAGTAAGCGTGAACACGATATGGTTGGACATTGCCAGCCCTTGGCAGGCTTTGCTTGTAAAGTGGTCGCAGTTCCACGATGGCCGTGACTTCTCAGAGTTCCTGATGGATTCATCTAAGCAGCTGATAGGCAAGAGATGTTTCGGTTTCATGCTGTGCAGCTTCTGACTTTCGTAGGATACCTGCACTTGATGCTAGGGGCCGCTTGGATCCACCTCTTGAACTTGCTCTTCGCGCTGCTTGGGCGCAAAAACGTGCAAAAATCAGTTGCTTTTTGGGGTCCACTCTGGCGATGTGATGCCCAGGCAGAGGCTGGAGCAACACTTCGAAAAAGCAGGTGGAGATGAGTGTGATTGGTTTAGAGCTGAGACCAGCCGCGCCGGAATTATGCCCAGTTCCCTGCAGCACGAAGATTTGCCGAGGTATTGGATTAACATAGTGGTTGACTGCACGCTTGGCGTTGCTGTCAGCTACGCACTACTGCAACTATCAATGAGGTGTGCCTTTTTGTTTGGCCGTGTTGCAGTCTGCTTTTGCTGTGCTAGTCGGTTGTTTCAGGATAATTCAGGCCTCGGTCCCGGCGCAGGCAGGGCCTTAACCTGTCGAACTGTTCCCGAGATGGGCTTCCATCTGGAGGCACCAGATTTCAAGCCCGGTGAATACCGGGTCAACGGAGGAATAGATGCAGCGTCGCCTGGCAGATGGCAAAGCAGTAGCCAGGTGAAATGCAACTCCAGCTTGAACTGAAATCCTGGCTTTTTCGGGTAAAGTGCAGTACCCTGGTGAGAGAGTTTCTCAGAATACTTCCCTATAATTTTGAAGGGGAACCTTTGTACGCTTCTTTTATTCAGCATTCCCAGGGTCCCACAGGGTCCACCCTGTTCTTCAGAAAGCTCCTGCATTCCGTGTCAACCAAACACAAGGAAGTACGTCAAGCAGCTGGCTGTGTGGCTTCTGATTGTGAGTGCGATGTCCGCGACCCATGCGTGAGATGTATTGCTGCTTGCTGGAGGTTTCTGCTGTGCCTTGCAAGCTGCCATGCGAAACCTGCAAGGAAGCTGAGCATGGTCCTCTTCATGGGCCTGTTTCACACACTTCTTCTAGCCCTTGCTCGCTTGATACTTGCTCCGTCCCTGGGTTGAGATCTGATTGCTACGCCATAGCTTGTGCGCGACATTGATCTGATGCAAAATTGGCCTTGCATTCTGCAAGGTTCGGCACTAGCCCCAATCTGAAGCTTCTCGTGGCGATGATTGCTACACCCTTCTGCATGAATGCCCTGCAGTTCTGGGTGACGGATAATTTCATCAAAAAACAAGGCACCATCATGAGCCTTCAGTGTGCATGCACCTTCACACGTGCTCTTCAGAGTCGCTGCGGTGCGCTTCTCACTTGGCACGGTTCCCTGCTTCATGCTAACAAGCATGGCCAAGTTTTCCAGAGTGAGACACGATGTGGTCACACATGTTGGGCAGCAATAGGTAGTTTCCATTTTCTTTTCCATTATTCCTATATAGCCCCTCTAACCCCTATAGAACCCCTATATAACCCCAATAAACCTGGATGAGTCGCTGCAGTCCACATGCAAAAACCCCAATAAACCCCATATTTGTGTCAGAAGAAAGTCTTGGGCAATAGCATTGTTGAGCTTGAAGGCGGTGCTGCTGAAGAAGATGATGACGAAACTGAGATGCAATCAGTGGCGTAAGCCATGCACTGGACTTCTTTGACGCCTCTCCTTCAAAGCATATGATTTGGGGGCAAGCGCCAGAGATTCTTCAGGACATCGAGATGGACGAGCGCGGTGGGCGCACCAAGATTGACCACGGTGATTTGTGAACATAATAGCTCTAGACAAAGATGCTAAGAGCTGAAGTTGTGTGAAAGCACCAACTTCTTTCGCCAACGTTTGCTTACCCAGTATCACGCCAGTGAGCAAAAGTCGCAGAGGACCAGTTGCCCTGTGCTTGCAGACAGGGGGTTGATCTGTGCTGAGCAGGTGGCCTTCTGAAGACTTACTGGCGAATGACCCGCGACAGCAAACTTGAAAATGACGCGGGTACAGCTTGCAGTGAGGATGCGCGATGTGCATCATGTCTCTCTGTCTCCCTCCCTCTCTCTCGCGCTAGAGCCGTTTCCATCTCCCTTGCTGGGTCGACGTGATGCATGAGGTTCCTCCATGGCCGGCATTTTTTCTGTGCTGCAGCTGTTCTGGCTTGGGCATTGCAATCAAAGCTTACGAATTCAAAGGCTAGCACGCCGCATCCCGCTGTTCAAAAGCCGACACTTCAACCGAAGCTAGATCTGGAACGCATGTTCAACAGCAGTTTTGTTTGAGCAATTGTACACCATGTCAGAGACGTTGAGGCGGAGACTTCCAGCCTTCATTTCTGTTGGGCACCATGCTAGACATTCCAGTGCCCAAAGGTTTGTCGGTGTGGCGCTTGCTGTCAGCTGCTCAGCGCCTCAAGCAAAGAGAAAGGTGTGTGTCAGCAGGTGAGCAGTTGTGCAGGCCATGGTGGCTTTTCGCTTTGCCAATGAGCTGGGGATCATAGGCGAAGAGCGAACAACACAGCTGAAGTTGCTTCATTTGTTGTGCTGTGAGAGTGTGTTTGGCTTCAAGCTTTGCCACTGGATTGTGCCCGCTTACCCGGCTGAATTCAGAATCTTGAATTAGTCCGCGTCTGCCCGACCTGTGTGGCACTGTACGGACGGTGCAAACAAACGTGTTGCCGCCGCAACCGGCAGGCGAGGAGGGCGACGGCTTGAAGAACTCGACGCAGGCTTGAGCAATCACTAGATTCACTAGCTTGCACCATCTTGTGCATGTGTAAGACATTGCATTCTTTCAGGCTCTCAGAGACACATTCGTGTTGCAGCGTCATAATCTCACATCTGCTGCAGGTCCCGGAGAGTGCAGCTCTTCCGAAGCAACAGGACTTTCTTGGTCCCAGCTTTGAGCAACCCCCCAATATATACCCCATTATGATATGGTAGTTTCCATTTTCTTTTCCATTATCCCAATATAAACCCATTATAACCCTAATATAACCCCAATATAACCTAGCAAGGCACAGGCTGCGCAGCTCCTGCCAGGCTTCTTCCCGACAGGAAGGCCCACCACTCCTCAGCCCTTGGGCTTAGAAACTGCAACGGCTAATATAGGGTTTAGGGTATAGGGTTATATAATGCAAAATGAAATGGAAGCTACTATTTAGGGTTATAGGGCTTATATAGGGTGATATAATGGAAAATAAAATGGAAACTACTATTTAGGGTTATGGGGCTTATATAGGGTTATATAAGGAAAATTGGAAGTTTGGAGTGAAGGTGTTGCGGGTTTCGTGTTTGCTGATAGTGGTTCCCAAGGCAAGAACCAGGTGCTGATCCAGTGCCCGCCTAGAAGATGAAGAATTTGTGCCATGATGCACCTTTGTGTTCCAGCTATGTCAAGTGAAGCCCGGCAACAAGGTACTGCACTAGCTGATCTTACAAGGGCACCTACCAGCAGGTGTCTTCCATGCTGAAGGACAGCATTCTTCATGCCCAGCACACGTTGCACAGGAACGCTACCAATTGTTGCCACAGCTGTGCTCCGACATCCGCTTGGGCTCAGCCAGGGCATGGCTAGCCAAAGTTAGGAACACATGCTGTTACCAACCTTATCAAGGTTGCCAAGAGCTGACCTTTTAGTCTTAAGCTTCAGGCTGCAGATGTTTGAATGCAAATGTGTTGCGCCTATGGCACATGGGAGCCATCAGCTGTCGATGCATAGCGCGCACGTGGCGTGATTGCGAAGATTACGCTGTGGTCCTCATGTCTTCTTGCGGATCTCTTTCGTTCTTGCAAAACGAAGGGTTGCTGAAGCAGAGCTCCAGTGGGGGACCGCCGCCACCAGCAGTACTTGTCCTTGGCGGCTCGACTTTTATGGGCCGGGAGACGGTAGATGCCCTTCTGCAATTGCCCTCCCGGGTTTGTGTGGTAAATCGTGGGCGCTCCTACTGGGGTACCCGGGACCCTTCCAATGGTCGCGTAGCGCGAGTTGTAGCAGATCGACGGGACAAGCGCAGTTTTGCAGAACGTTTGGACGCTGTAACCAACATGTTGGAAGAGAAGTGGGCCTTGGTGGCTGATTTCTCAGCTTATGATGGTGCTGACATGCGTTGCGCCCTGGAAGGTTTGAGCGGGCGCTTTAAGAAATATGCTTACATCTCTTCAGACTCCGTCTATGAGGTAAGCAGTGCAGCAGGGTCTGAATGGGCCACGCGGGCTCCGATGATTGACGAGACTTTTTCGCAAAGGCCTGCTGACGGCGCGGTTCGCAAGAGACTTCGCAAGGCAGATAGCTACGGTGATGGTAAGCTCGAGGCCGAAGAAGTGCTGGCTGCAGAAATGGCATCCAATGCAAGCGGAGTTGCACTTCGGCTTCCTGATGTCATCGGGCCATTCGATGATACTTTTCGTTTGTGGGCATATTGGCACTGGTTGCGCGCAGGGCCTGGCAGCCCGCCTCAAGTTCAGAAGCGGCACAGCAAGCGCGCACGGCTGGACGCTCCATTGCAATCGAATTCCGAGGATCCTCCGCTCGCCTTCGTTTTCAGTCGGGATGTAGCCCGCTTCCTGGTGCATTTAGTTGGCCAGCAGCTCGACAAGAAGTTTGATGCAGTGAACCTGGGAAGCGACATGCAGGTCCCTCTCCAAGACTTCTTAGAGCTCCTGGGCAAAGCATCACATCCAAACCTGGCATCCGAAGATACAATTCCCTTTGACGAAGTGGAGCGGCCGCGTAGTTTCCTGCCGAGTGTTGGGCGACCGCTTCCCTTGGACTTTCAGCACCTGAAGAAGGTGTACGGCTTTGAGACCACGCCCCTTCCAGATGTTCTCCAAGTCTGTGCTGACTGGTTTAGCATGGCCTGCAAGGAGTTCCCAGAAGAGGCGGCAGAGGCGGCAATGAAGCTGCCCGCAGCGGCTCGAGATGCTGCATTGGCAGCTGCAGAGCTGAAGAAGCCGGAAAGCCCCAGAAGCTCTTCAAATTCTAGTTCGAGTTCAAGCGCGTCCGCCTGACTGCTGGCACTGGTGCGTGCGCAAAAGCATGCGTATGCACTTCACGCTTGTCTTCTGTTTTTTCTGTTCAGTTTACAAGCAACAGCTACACAAAGCGTGAGGAACGGGCCTTAGCTGATCTTGAGGCTGCAGCTTTGCAGATTTGTCAGCTGTGTCGTGGGTCCAGAATGTGATAAATCTGGCAGGTGAGAGGGATGCCGTACCCAGTTCCAATGTTGAAGCAGCACCTGATGTTCAACTAGTCGGCATGGTTGAACCTTTGTGGTTGTTGTGCTAGACTTTCCTGCGGGCTATTCAATCAGAGCAAAGGTACGCATCGAATGCCCGAGCCCAGGCATTGAACACATTCCAGTTTGGGGGATCATAGCAACCGCTGAGGCCGTATTTATCGTACAGATTGGCCTATGGGCCATGGTCTTCATGGGCGATGCGATATGCGAAGCTCTGAAGGCCTGTTCGCCTGAACCATTTGCCTGGAGTACAAACTTCCAAGTCAAAAAGGCCGAGAGTCTTAGAATATCATAAAACCCTCCGCTCCCAATAGTAAGCATTCCCAACATGATGCCCTTGTACAAGCATTGCCCTGCCAGCTCTGTTCCAGGTGCCGAAGCCAGACCTTCTGACTTCAGCGCAGGGGCGGGGTCCCTGTTCACTGCAATGATTGAAGTTTTGGCAAGCTAGCCTTTGTTATTTGGAAGCCAACCTGCTTTCTTTGTGAAGGAACAAGATGATGTCCTTCATGGGCGTTTGGCTTGCGAATTCCTCAGGGTCAATTTTCCTGTCAAACTTTCAGATTTCAATTTGAGAAGTGTTTCGCAGGTAGGAAACATGGTGTCCGCCCAACTTCTCAACACCGGAGCATTTGTCCAAGCCTGAAAACGCAGATGCGTGGGCTGATGTGAGCCTTTCCCTTCAAGATCCAGCAAGCCGCCTTTTGAGACTCCTGATTCAGAAGAGAGACAGGAAATTTATCACGGAGACCAGCATATCTGGTGAAGCGCTTACTCTGAGGGTTCCCAAGTCCTCCTGCACTACTAAGAAGAGCCAGCTCCCTTGCCAGGTCATCTCTTGAAGTTGGGCGGGACTCTGAGTCTGGGTTGCTGTTAATTTAAGTTACCACATTGGGAAACCCTATTAATTACAATATATACCCATTGTGGTAACTTAATCTAAGTTCCTTGACAGCAACCCAGGAGTTACAAAGCTGCAGTCGTTGCAGCCACATTGGTGCGAGTGGTTTGCCATATGGGATCACACCTCATCAACTTTGCCTGCCAACATCTCTTAGGGGTTATGTAGGGGTCATATAGGGGTTATACAGGGGTTATATTGGGGTTATAAAATGCATTGAAGGCGCCTACCAAACATGGCGGACTTGGTGCCAGGGCCTCGGTGAGTCACTGTAGCAGCTATCCTGGAACTTTCCCTTTTGCAAATTGCTGTTGTTGATATGGGCTATCTCCTGGTATCCCCCCTAGTAACCCGTGTAATAGTCCCCTAAAAAATCCCGCATTTAATCCCCTGTAAGGAGTTGAGAATATAGCTGTGGATTCTTGCTTCCAACACGCCAGGCAGGCTTTTGCCAAGCAAGGATCTCAGCCAAGTCTTCTGCGTCTTTCAACTTCTTACTTTACTGGGGGTTGGTAGGGAAGAAGCGAATAGCCCTACATAACCCCTATAGAATACACTGCCTTAGTCCCTAGTATTAACCCCCATACATACCCCTAGTACAATGTAGTAGTGTCTTCTTTTCCATTATCCCTATATGTCCCGAA